ATGTTCGAATATTCGAAACATTGTAAAGCCTAATTAGCAAGCTATGTTTCTTAAACAAGAAATTCCTTTGTCTTGGATGCAATCTAAATTAAAATTTTTCCATGGCTATTCGCTATAATGATATTAATAATAATCAATCTCTAATGTTAAATTCAAACCCAAGTGCCTTATAGTTCCCCAGCCCGCTGTACTCTGGAGATAAAAACAAAAGCAGGGAAACAAGTAAGGAAGTTAACGTACTTTAGGGTAGTGTTTGCTGGCAAGGGGAAATTGCTGGAACAGATCGACCGGCGAATTGCAATGGCTATCGACGTTCTGAACCACTCTGAGCCGTTGCGATTAAAGCAAGGCTTAGCCTGAAAACTAAGCTGGTTGTGTTCAAATTGGTCTTCGTTCCTATGCTCCCCTATGGTCATAATATTGGGTCGTGATTGAAATACTTCGATCTCTGTTATAAGCGGCTGAAATGTGCTCTCTGAGACAAATTGATGGGCTCACACGTCTTAGCATGATCTGCAGTTCAGATCTCTGAGAAGGCATTGGTCTACAGCTGCTGCTTTTGCAGATTCAGGTGTCAGAGCTAGGATAGTTTGTGTACATTTCACGAATGCTCCGGACCGGTTGACCTTTCGTAGGCTAATTTTGGTGAGTCGAAATATGGTCGATTAATTCTTATATAATGTTATCTTCACACACGAGCCTGGGGAGATTAAATTAACAGCAAGTTAACTAATTAAATGAGAAACTGTTACGAGTTCAGCAGAGGGTTATGAAAAGAAGGATGCTAAGAGACCTGTGCATTAGAGACAAACTACGGAATGAAGAAATATGCAGATGCAGGAAATGCAGAACGTAATAGTTATTGCACAAGAAATAAAACGAGGATGGGCAGACTACCTCGCACAACTGGCCAATGACCTACAGAGAGACTTCAGCGCAGGATCGGTACCCATTGGCTAAAAATGACAATTGGAAACCTCGGCTCAGATGGGATATGAACTAGATAAGACATATGGAAACAAATTACGGGAATTGAGAAAAGGAAGTGGTGACTAAGAACAAGCTACAATAGATTACTTTTGTGAATTAAACACATGCGCCGTACCAATCCCTGATTAATGAGTTTTTAAACGTATAATCAGCACCACTTCAGAGCAATCACAACATGGAGCATATTATTGCATCACGTTTCCTCAGTCTTCATATTCGAAGCTCCATGATCAATATTGTTTTTGACACATTTCCTGGTGTGATATGTTTGTCGTCTGCTGAGATCAGCTAGCCATGACTCTTCATCCCTTGTTCAGAGAGAATAGAAAACGATGCACAGATTTAGTCATACTTGTGGGGATCAATCAATCAATAATTACAGTTAATCTTTTTGACTTTCAGTATCATTGGATTATAAGATTGTTCAGAATGCCGTGTCCGGCTACGGCTAGTCGTTTTTTCATTTTGCCTGTCCGACAAGCCATGCGTACCTGCACGTATATTCTAGCACTTTGTTTAGCGATTTAAACAAGTAACGTTTTAAACAGTTTACTGCACTGTTGCTCTAAAGTGTAGGCTGTGTATCGAAAAGCAGCATTTATTGGAGGAACATAGGTTAAGATAGCAGATGACAGATATTTTGGATGTCTTCGTCAGTGGTTGATGATGATATGTCGAAAATGGCAACAAGAGAGCTGTCTCTTTATGAAACAATAATTTGCTTGCTCTGGGGCTCATGTCAAAAAATGATTTAGCATCGTCTTACTGTTTTTGCTATTCGACTCTGCACCGTTAGTTTCAAATCCGGCTCTTCTCAGTACAGCCAACAGTTCGTAACGAAACGCCGAAATATCTTGCTTAAGCTCTGCGATGTCGTCTTCGGTGACCCCCTCCATATTTTGTTTCTTGTGCTGGATGTTGGCGATGTACCGCTTGACGAGATTTCTGATCACGAACTAAGAACAACCAAACGTAAGAGTAACGCTTAAAGGCAGCTGTTCAAACCTGATAGTTGTTCTCCATATCGCTGACCCTCTTCAAGATTTTCTCCAGCTAGAACAACAACTCTGTATATTAAGATTCGCAGGTACAACGTAAGCGATACTTACGCGAACGGTTCTGCGAGCTCGAAGCAATTTTTTCAGTGACACGTGACAGCACCGGTCAATCAGCCATATGAACGCGTTCCAAAACGATTTCGGAGAGGGAACAATGTTGAATGGGGGAGGAAGTGTTCCGGATTCATCGAAATACTCAATCCAAAGCTTGCTTCTGGCAAATTTCCATTCAACGTCCGATTGGTCCTAAAGCACGCGAACGGAGTCCAATGGCACAAATGAAGTCCTTAGCACTTTCTCCTCATAACTTCGAAGCATGGAATCATTCCCAGCAACGCCCACAACAGTTCGCATTGTACTTGTACTAATAAGCAATTAACGGCTGGTAATATATAACGTGATTTTAAGCGGCTGTAATTAGATTTCGTTTGTTCTTGAAGACAAGAAAACATTTTCATGTATAGCTTTGGCTGCAACCAGGATTCAAGTTCTTCGTAGAGCTTAACAATAATTTTGAATTTTCCTTTAACGTGCCAGTTGTAAATGCGACTGCAGTGACAGGTGTCATTTCCCGTTCATACGATATAAACATACAAATACTGAGAAATTCAATAAACCAAAGTTTGCTGAACCTAATCTTGCAATGGAACGAATGTGTTCCTTCCGATTTACAGAAACGAAGGAAGAGAATTGGAAAATGAAGGAAAGAAACTATGACTAGTGCCTAAAGCGTGGTTTCGTTGAAGAATGAAAAATTTAAAATTGGGGGGGGGGGGTTGATGTGCATTGAAAATGAACATGCAAAAACATTATCATTAATTCTTGTTAATTTACGTTTGCACATTGTGCTGATTCTTCGTCAGTTATAAGGTTCATATAGGTGAACTGCAGCACGAAGGCGCATGCATCAGATGTTGCGGCTAATACCTCGCACGCTTTCGCTTGCCAAAGTATCATGGTGTCCCCATCAGTCGCAGACAAACCGTCTGATATGTTTTTCGGGAGGAAGGGGTTGAATTCACGCTCAAGATAATAAGCACTTAATAAAGGATATGAGTTAATTCACACTGTGAGTTGCGTTTGATGAACCAGCACTCCAACGTGCAAAGCAACTATCAACTGCACCACTGCTGCCACCTCCCCATGCATTATTACATTTGCAACATAGACATCTAACTGCGGCCAAGATTGGTGTTTAACAGCTATTCAGGCAAGCTAAAGCTTGAGGGTCCTTGAGGGTCGGCATGTTAAAGAGAATATCACTCAGTGATTTTATATTGCTAGAGTTTCATCCATCATAAAAGACCTTATATAGGGGACCTGAGGGCTAGCGTACTTGGCAGAGGTTTCTTTGTATAGCCCTTCCGTTCTGCCTCATGCCTCAGAATGGCATTTGCACATATCACTTCGTTATCACTTTTATCATGGAACAAATAACGAAACTAAAAACTTCTAAATCTATCGTGAACACGTCTGCTTTGTATGCTGACAGATGATCTGAAACACCAGACGAAAGAGACAGAGTGAATTGTAAGAAAAAATTGACCAAAACAAACCGAAATATATTGGTATGAGTTGCTCATCATGGCGATGAGCATGTTCAGCAGCACGACGACGGATATAATGCCATAGGTTCCAAGCATGGTCTTGCCAGCCCATTCCGTTATGACGTGATTTTCCTTCAATCGCAGGTGATCCAAATCGAATACTCCCAGTATGGACCAGAACAGTGTCTCAATCGTGTTGTAGAGGCTGAAGAAAAAGCGTTACGTACAGAAGCTTGAAACAGATTTCAACAGTGACTTGAACTTCATTTAGTCAGATCGTTATGACTCGCAACTGCTCAGTCAAAGTTATTATTTTGATAAATGGCATGAGTACCCTGGGTTTCAGTTTTTACAACCGTCAGAAAGATAAAAGTTAAATTTGAGATTTCGTTTTATCATCGAAACCTTGGGAATGTTGTGTAAAGTTTTTTCAAGTATATTTGCAGTAGCTAATAGTGGTTATTCGTGCCTTTTATCCAGCCTTGAAATTTCCTCGTTATTCAAAATTTACGACAATATTTTCGTTTAATTAAATCTGAGTAAACATAAGCCCTGTATACCTGAAATCCTCTCTGTCTGATGTCGTGTTATTCGTCGAGCAACCATTAAAGGGAAAAAGGAGGGCAAGTTTGTAATCGTTGTATAGTCGATGGGGCAATTTCTGGCTCTCTCCTTTTCATGAAGTTTATGGTGGGGCGTTGATCTCGATTTCCGCCAATGTTATCCGCCAGTAGTGCCTTGTTTTAAAGACAGAGTTGACAGCAGCTGTGTGGTACAAATAGTGCCAACCTTCTGTTTCCTTCCAACAGAGTGGTGCCCATTTATCAACCTCACAAGAAAAAAAAACCAGTGACCTCGTCTAGGCACGAACGTGAGACCTCTTGGTTCTGAGTTCGACGTTCAACTGACTAAAAAACCCCGAGGATCCATTAGTTC